GAACCTTGTGGTACAATGTCAGAGAGATCCATACACTAACACACAAGTTATGTCTGGAAGTTACAAAAATGCTTATTTTTGGCCCCTTTTTGGCCCCTAATTCCTAAACTGTTAGTACCATAACCCCCAAAATCAATCCCAACCTTCCTTTTGTGGTATTGAACCTTATGGTAAAATTTAATAGAGATCCATTCACTTAAACTAAAGTTAGAGTGCGAAAACCAAAGTGTCTTCGGACGACGACGACAACGCCAACGTCATACCAAATTCAAGACTTACAGAACCAAAGTCGCATGAATGAAATCAAATAGGCAATTTTTGCGGTCGTATAAAAATGAGGTTACAGTCATGTCAACTCCTTCAGATACACAAATACTCCTTAAATCAATCCACAGGCAATATATAGTTGACCTATTACTTATAGTAACTAAGGAATCTTAACTAAATCCATTATTCTATACACAAAATAGAGTTGACTTATTTCTTAGAAAATGACTGAGAAACTCGGCTACACTCCTTCAGTACAGCAAATAAAAACCTGTTGTACACCAAGTCACCTCAGCATTATTTTATCAGCTACACAACTGAGCTGCAAAAGAGGCAAGACAAAACAATCGTTCTGACGAATGATGTTTTAATGTGATATCTAAATAGTGCAAAAATTAATTAATGTTTATTCTGAACTAATGATTTCTTATAAACCTGTGCATAATCTTAAACCTGATTATGTACCGTTATACAATAATTAATGCACTTGGATACCTCGAAAGAAGACGGTTTTCTTTAACTGAATTCTAAGAAGTTTTTTACAGAGATTGTTTTAAAATTCAAGACTTACAGAACCAAAGTCGCATGAATGAAATCAAATAGGCTTGGATGCAGGTTTTTATCTTAGAATTGTTGGAATTGACAGAAGGTTGGGCAAGTAGCAGTGATTATTCAGGAATGCCAGCAGCTATGTCTAATGGCAATTGGAGTTTTTAACCATTTTTCTTCACAGAAATAATAAATGTATCATTTACCCTAAGTGTTGAGGCAATTAATCTTAATAAAAATAATGAAAACTATTTCATGCAGCAGCAATGTTTGATGGCTGTTTTAGGCTGTTATCAAATTTACTCCTTTGCAGAAATTGAACTTTTGGTGAAAGAAAAATATATTTAAACCATTTTGAGCTAAAATTTACTTGTCCATGAGTTTGCGTTAAAAATTGAGGATTACTGCGCTCCATAGTATACTTTTCACTTTCTACTACAACACTTTAACCATTGGTTGAAAATTGGCATGTGGAAAGTGATACATGTAAAATTCAGGATATACCTGGTTTCTATGAAGTCAAACTTAGGGTAAAATATTTAGGAAGCTGTGGAAATTATAAAAAAAATTGGTTGAATAGATAGAGATTTTGAATTGGTAGACTGACACCTATATTTATCATAAATCGGCCTTAACCTGTACTAAAGTCTATAACAAATACGTAGATATATTGAGGAAGCATAATTCTCATTACATTGATTGAATAAAGAGTGATATTTCACACCAAACTTTTATAGTTACATTATTTATGAAGGAAACACTATTATATTTGTCCTTTAAATCATTTATTTTGGCTTAAAAAGATATATTGATTAAACTGCTCTTGTTTAATCAATTGGTATTTGTGTTCTGGGGGGATAAAACAATAATTTGCTCATTTAAAAAAAAAAGACTTAATGTTCCTTTTGGTTTTTTTCTTCAGTAAAATTCTTTACAGATTTACTTTCGGCATTGCACAAGATCATATCAAATGTACTTTTTAAGATTTAGTGGTATGAAATCTACTCAGTACAAGTAAAGCTGCCAATACTATAGTGTAAGATGGCATGATTTCATATCAGCAAGTTAAGTACTTTAAGCTTGCTTCCAGTAATTCTAAGCATTCTTTCTTTATATGTTTATTTATAACTGTTGCACTTGTACTTGAAATTTTGTTAATGAATACATTTTCTGTACTGACTATTTTGTTTGTTTTTTCATGTACTTTTGCTATTCCATTGATAGAACTAAATAAAGCAAAAGGTTGATATCTCAAAAACTATTTCAAACCTGCCTAATGTGTATCAGTCTGTCCTATGTCTTAAACTCATCAGTGTTTGTTTTTCAGTTACATCTTTAAAAATGTTTTATGGCATAAAAGGTTTTTGGAGCTGATTGCACAACTTTTCTAGATTTGAGACAATTTAGAACTTAATACAAACACTTGTCTATTGTTGATGCTTTTCCTCTAAGATGTTTAATGTTTGTGGGTTTTCTTTTTTTGCTTTGTTGCTGTCTCATTGAATTATACCCTAAATCTCCAATTATAATTAATTTAATCCAAATCAACAACATGGTATCAGAGGAAAAGATTTTTTTTAAAGTTTATAAAGAAGATAAAGGCTACTTATCTTAATAGCTCACAATAGAAGATAGACAACATACTCTTGAAAATACAAGCATTCTGTGAGTATTGCATGGCAATACATAGTCCCCTACCGATTAAAGATTCATTGTAATGGAACAAAATTCTAACATGATCTATAAATTTTCATGGTGTAAACTACATAAAATAACAAACAAACCTACCACTAAATTCTTCAAACAATTTACTAAAGAAAAGGAAAAAAATTCAAAATGTAATTTATCATTGATACAATGTCTTCTAAAAAATGAGTTATTTCCCTTTGAACAGAAATCTAGTAATTAATAAGTATTTCATCAAAAAATTAATTTTAGGGAAAGGGCTTTCACTGAACAAGGAGAAAAGCTTAAATCGTGAAAATTGAACTTGACCTGTAACTTGTCAAGATAAAACAATACACCAAATATCAAATCAATATCTTCAAGCATGAAGAAAAATAGTCTGGAAAACTGATTTGCCGGACTGACAGATGGACAGACAGACAGAAGGACAGACAGACAGACGGACAGAGTGCAAACCTAAAGTTCCCTTCGACTTCGTCGGTAGGGGACTAATAAACCACAAAAGAAGTGAGTACAAAAATTATAGTATTTTTACAGAATTTTCTTTAACTGATAAATCTCAGAGTAAAATTTGATCAGTTTTCATTTTTAGTGAATACTAAGTCCATGATATAAATTTATTTCAGTTGGCTTGACTCAATCATTTTTCTGATTTTGATGCGGATAGCAAATAATTTTATTGCTAGTTATTTTGTCACCTCCCTGGCAGTCTAACAGCTTCATCAAATGATGATCATATTGATTTTAGAAGCCCATGTAGGGGCAGTTAGACAGGATATGTTTTTGTCCCTAACAATATTTTTTCCTTTCCCGGGGACAGTCTAAAATCTAAACTTTCATCCACTTCTGACGTCCTTTATCCTGTTTTATATCAATCTAGTAGATTTTTCGTATTCATATTCTGATCCTGTGTATGCTTTTCAGGTTGATAATGGATATATACAACCAATTAAGTTTTTATAGAAAATAATATAAAAATCTAAAATGAATAAAGAAAATCCCTCAGCAGCTTAAGGGAGCCTTGAAACAGAATTACATAGTGTAATCAAATTCAACATAATAAAGGCATAGTTCAATATCAACATAATGAATATAGCAATTACTTTTAATTGGCTTCTAACATGACAATAATATCTTTAATCAAAATCTTAAAGAAAAACTTGTTGCTGTTAACTGCATAATCTTTTTAATGATTTTTAGGAGTCAAATGTTCTGAAGGAACACTGTTCATTCAAATTAATTAAAGTTATCACAAGTTTTCATCTTTTCTTATCTTGTTATAGAGCTCATCATGACTGCATTCTATTGCATAGGAATACAGATAGATCAAGGTATAGTGCATCATAGAAGTTTCAGTGCAGTAGGAATGTAAATTTTAGGTCATTAATGATTTTGGGGAAAATTCATTGATATTTGTACCTTTAGTCAAATATAAAAGCAGGTTCTAGATTTCTACCCTCACATGCCCTGCATACATATAACAAATATTATAAAGGGACATAACTCAAGAAGGGAAAAAGTGACGACACCCAACTTCAAACTTGATCTGTGTTTTGTGGTTATAAGCATTGTGTATAAATTTCATAACATTTGGTTGAGAGAAACTCAAGTTAGATAACGGATACTAATTTCGGGACGAAGGACGAATGTACAGACAGACAAGGGTAACATTTAATGCCCCCTCCCCTGTTGAATAATTATCAATTTCACTCAAATTTGATGGATTTGATTATGTGATTATACTAGCTTCTTTGTGAGACTACTCAATAGCTTTGATTATGTGATTATGCTTTCTTCTTTTGGTGACTATTTGATGGTATTGATTATGTGATTATAATGGTTTCTTCTGGAGACCATTTGATGGTTTTGATTATGTAATTATACTGGATTCTTTGAGGGACTATTTGATGGTTTTGATTATGTGATTATAATGGTTTCTTCTGGAGACTATTTGATGGTATTGATTATGTGATAATAATGAATTCTTCTGGAGACTATTTGATGGTATTGATTATGTGATTATAATGGTTTCTTCTGGAGACTATTTGATGGTTTTGATTATATAATTATAATGGATTTTTTTGGAGACTACTCAGACCATGGCTTTGATTCTGTGATTATACTGGCTTTTTTTGGGAGACTACTTGATAGATCTAATTATGTGTTTATACTTGATTCTGTAAGACACTACTTGGTGGTTTTGATTATGTGATTATAATGGATTCTTTGAGAGACTTCTAGATGGTTTGATTATGTGATTATAATGGATTCTTTGAGAGACTTCTAGATGGTTTGATTATGTGATTAAAATGGATTCTTTGAGAGACTTCTAGATGGTTTGATTACCCGGTATGTGATAATAACAGATTCTTTGGAAGACTACCTGGTGACTTTGATTTTGTTATATTTTATGTCTTTTTGGGGATGCATCATATTTTAATTTTACTTTGCATCACTTTAACTTTTGCACTCTTCTGGTCTTCACTTTATAAACTTACTTAGCTTGAGCCTCTGCTTGCATAAAAATAAATTCCCACTTCCGTGAAAACATTTTCTGTAACCTTGCCAAGTTTTCTGCCTCATAGTCTGCTAGTTCTAATCTCTGTTTGTTTTGCATCGTTCTCTTGCATAAATAAACAGCTAAGTAAAAAAAAATAAAATTGTATAATTATATTAGAAAATTTTAATTAATCAAATTACTGCTGAATTAAGTTACATAATAAACATGAGGAATAAATCAAACTTTAAATTGTATAATCAAACTACATATAAAATCAAATATGCAGTGAACAAAAGGCAGGTCATGAACTGAGCAAGATTCCAAATAACTCAAGAATGGTTAAAGTGGCCCCACCAAAACTCAAACTTGATCTTTATTTTGTGGTAATAGGCATTGTGTATATGTTTCATAAAATTTGGTTGAGGCAAACTTAAGTTAGAGAACGGAAACTAAAAATTTTGCAATTTTTCCATTTATGAAGGGGCATAACTCTAAAATGGTTAGAGTGACGCTACCAAAATTCAATCTTGATCTGTATTTTGTGGTAATAAGCATTGTCTTTAAGTTTCATAACATTTGGTTGAGGCAAACTTAAGTTAGAGAACGGAAACTAAAAATTTTGCAATTTTTCCATTTATAAAGGGCATTACTCTAGAACGGTTAGAGTGATGCTACCAAAATTCAAACTTGATCTGTATTTGGTGATAATAACCATTGTGTATAAGTTTCATTACATTTGGTTGAGGCAAACTTAAGTTAGAGAACGGAAACTAAATATTTTGCAATTTTTCCATTTATAAAGGGGCATAACTCTAGAACAGTTAGAGTGACACTACCAAAATTCAATCTTGATCTGTGTTTTGTGGTAATAAGCATTGTGTATAAGTTTCATAACATTTGGTTGAGGCAAACTCAAGTTAGAGAACAGAAACTAAACATTTTGTAATTTTTCCATTTATAAAAGGGCCATAACTCTAGAATGGTACAAGTGATGCCACCAAAATTCAAACTTAATCTGTGGTTTGTTGTAATAAGCATTGTGTATAAGTTTCATAACATTTGGTTGAGGCAAACTTAAGTAAGAGAACGGAAACTAAAAATTTTGTAATTTTTCCATTTATAAAGGGGCATAACTCTAGAACGGTTAAAGTGACACCACCAAAATTCAAACTTGATCTTTGTTCTGTGGTAATTAGCATTGTGTATAAGTTTCATAACATTTGGTTGAGGAAAACTCAAGTTAGAGAACGGAAACCAATTTTGGGACGTACGTACAGACGGACAAGGGTAAAACTAAATGCCCCCTCCGCTACGGCGGGGGCATAAAAAATAAATGAACAGAGTTCCAATGTCCCCCGCGTTGCACATATTCTATTTTTTCAAGGGCAATAACTAAAAAAAAGTACTTTTTTTTTGTTTTGTTCTTTTAAACAATTTATAAATATCTGATTATCTTGCAAAAAGAAATCGAATTATATTTTAAACAGACCTCAAGGACATTAATTATAGTATACTATAAGTTTAATAAAAATCTGACAAGAATTGTACTCGTGAGAGCGCTAACGAGGCCATTTTCCATAAATTTAATATTTCCAAGGGGCATAACTCTTTTTAAAAAAGTCGATCGGCCACCATTATATAGAACTTGTCTGAGATATTGCTGATATAAACCTATAGTATACGTTATATAAAAATCTGGAAAGAACTGTACATTTGAGAGCAATAACGAGGCCATTTTCCATAAATTTAATATTTCCAAGGGACATAACTCTTTTTAAAAAAGTCGATCAGCCACCATTATAGAACTTGTCCGAGATATTGTTGATATTAACCTATAGTATTAGTTTTATAAAAATCTGGCAAGAATTGTACCTGTGAGAGCGATAACAAGACCGGACAGATGGACAGACGGACACACGGACGGATCCCCGGTATTTCTATATCCCCCGCAATGAGTTCACGAGGAACATAAACAACATGTCAGTATGATTTCTGAGCATACATCAGAAGCTTCTGGAATAACCTTCAACATGCATGCAGGCTTCTGGAATAACCTTCAACATGCATGCAGGCTTCTGGAATAACCTTCAACATGTATGTTTTGAAGTTTTGAAAGTAAACAAGAGTGCACACCCTGAAATGTCTTGCCTGCTTTTCTGACAATTGATGTTTATACTGAAAGGTTTTACAAAAAGTATCACATAAACTCAACATTTTAAAGATCCATGACAATGAGGTCAAGGTCAGATAAATCCTGTCAGACAGACATTTGTATCTTACAATTATTACATTCACCAAATATAGTTGACCTATTGCATATTGTTTATATTGAAATCTGTGGTAATCCTAGTCAAGGTAGGAGTAGTTGAGAAATTTAGTGTTAGTTTAAACTCTTAGAAGTTCGGGCATATAAACGTTGAAAATATGCCGCACAGCCCTATATTTTGACCTTTGAAAAAAATAGTAGTACATATGAACTTTCCATTCTAGGATAAGATTTTTTTCAAAACTTCTAAGTAAAAGTGGTACAGTTTTAGCCGTAAAAGGAGTTCCTACGGGAAATTGCATTGTCAATATTTACAGAAATGCAACTTACATTCAAAATTAGAATTAATTGACCAATATCACAATGAATCATAGCTAATACAATGACTAGATAGAAAGTATGTCTTTTTCACGAAAATTCAATGAAAACGGGTAAATTTCCATAGGTTTCTAAGACAGGAAACATAGAGCGCAGGCCTCGGCAAAAGAGATCTTTAAGAATAATCTTTGTTATGACATTTTACATATCGGACTTAAATATTTAGTTTGTCTAAGCCTGCGCTCTTTGTTTCTAAGGCCTTAATTTGGTTGAAATCAGTATGATTTTGTCAAATTTCGCAAAAATCTCTATTTTTGATCTATTTAGGATGTACAAATCAACACTTCAAAATAAAACTTTGACAAAAATAGTTCTATTTTATTTTCTCACATGTCTTTTCGTCAATTTAACACATTTTTTATTCTGAAACATTGAACTTAATAATCGGGGCCAAATTTGGCTCTTACCGAACTTACTCCTTTTTTTCAAGCAGTTGCTGAACCATGAAAATGAGGTCAAGGACTATGGAATTATGACAGAACTCCGTGACATAAGGTATCTGCTTAGAAGGTATGAAGCATCAAGGGGTTTTCGACCTTCTGAAATATAATGCTTTATACATATAGCTTACACTGCCACTGCCATCCCCGCCCCCAGATAGTATTACCTATGACTCGTATACTGCGACTTTCTTTGCAGACAGGACAAAAACAACCTTAATACCCTAACATAAAGACCAAGGAAAGAAAAGATATAGACCAATTGTCATCTGCTACTTCAAAATCCAAGATGGAGGAAGACGGTGTACCCCATCCACCTTAATCTGAAAAGAAAATTTACAATGCCTAAAACCCTTTTTGATGGGATGTTTAGATTGGACTAGAACAAAAGAAATTAGCATTGTGATGGTTGTGGACTCTTGTTAAGATAGGGCTGAAACAAAAGAAACTAGATATCATTGAGATGGGAGCCATCTCTGTGGGCCTCACTGTGAATAATGTGTGGTAAAAAATTTGTATCATTATCATTGGACATGGGGTTGTCAACTGAAACCAAAGTTTTTGACCTTGACCTTAGACCTAGGAAGTTGTACATGAATTATGACACACCCTCTGGTGTTGGTTTATATACATGTCAAGTATAAACTTTGAAATCATAACGGTTCTCAAGATATAGAGAGGATACGATCTTTACCATAGGACATGGGGTTGTCAACTAAAACCAAAGTTTTTGACCTTGACCTTTGACCTAGGAAGTTGTACATACATTATGACACACCCTCTGGTGTTGGTTAATATACATGTCAAGTATAAACTTTGAAATCATAACGGTTTTCTAAATATAGAGCAGACACAACTTGTTACGGATGGACGGATGGACAGACGAATGGACAGACTGACAGACAGGCGGGCAGACAGACTGATCACTATTCGGCGGGCCCTAATTAATATTGTGTAGATCATAGACTCCTGAACCAAATCAGAATAATTTTGACAAATTTCTGAGAAACTGCTGAGTCACTATTATATGTGAATGTGATTGGAATAAAAAAAATGTGGATAGTGTCCACATGTGGACACAGATGATGCCCCCGCTTGCATATCATATAGTTATAAACTGAAGAACGGTAAAAGTGACGCTACCCAAATTTGAACTTGATCTGAGTTTTGTGGTAATAAGCATTGTGTGTAAGCCTCATAACATTTGGTTGAGGCTAACTTCAGTAGAGAACAGAAACTAAAAATTCATCAATTTTTCTATTTGTAAATACGCATAAGAACGGTTGTGTATAAGTTTTATAACATTTGGTTGAGACAAACTAAAGTTAGAGAACAGAAACAAAAAATTCAGCAATATTTATGTTTATAAATGGACATAACTCTAGAATGGTAAAAGTGTCACCACCAAATTTCGTACTTGATCTGTATTATGTAGTAATAAGCATTGTGTATAAGTTTCGTAACATTTGGTTGAGGCAAACTAAAGTTAGAAAACGGAAACAAAAAATTAAACTGAGTTTTGTGGTAAAAAGCATTATATATACATTTCATTACATTAATTTAAGACAAACTCAAGTTAGAGAACAGAAACGAAAAATTCAGCAATTTTTCCATTTGTAAATGGGCATAACTCTAGAAAAGTAATCAAAGTGCTTGTAAGCACTGAATGGTAAAGATTGCTTTAATTTATCAGTAGGAAGTAAAATTGAATATTGCATTGTATAAAGCATTGGTTGTAGTTGATTCAACTACCATTATGCACAAAGAAAGATAACTCCAATTTTCAAAGAAGACTTTAAAATATTTTTAGAAATGAAGGGTAAAAATTGCTTTAATTTATCAGTGGAAGGTAAAATTAAACATTGCATTGTATAAAGCATTGATTGTAGTTGATTCAACTATAATCATGGACAAAGAAAGATAACTCCAATTTTAATAAAATGCTCCGCAGGGCGCAGCTTGATAAGACCGCAGAGGTCGAACCCTGAACAGTTGGGGCAAGTATGGACACAACATTCAAGCTTGATACAGCTTTGCATTTGGATTGTGATTAAATATTTGACACAGCATAGGTTTCTGACACAGAATGAATGTGGTCTAAGAACTTAAAAATTTTAAATTGGACATTCACCTATTATGGTCCAATATCCAAAATCTAAATACATGGTTAGATTCAGCATATCAAAGAACCCCAAGAATTCAATTTTTGATGAAATCAAACAAAGTTTAATTTTGGACCCTTTTGACCTCAATGTGGACAAAGTTGATAAGGGGGCCCAAAAATCAAAAATCTAAATACATGGTTAGATTCAGCATATCAAAGAACCCCATATATTCAATTTTTGTTGAAATCAAACAAAGTTTAATTTTGGACCCCGATTTGGACCAACTTGAAAACTGGGCCCATAATCAAAAATCAAAATACATGTTTAGATTCAGCATATCAAAGAACCCTAAGAATTCAATTTTTGTTAAAATCAAACTAAGTTTAATTTTGGACCCTTTGGACCTTAATGTAGACCAATTTGAAAACGGAACCAAAAATTAAGAATCTAAATACACAGTTAGATTCTGCATATCAAAGAACCCCAATAATTCAATTTTTGATGAAATCAAACAAAGTTTAAGTTTGGACCCTTCGGACCTCAATGTGGACCAATTTAAAAACGGGGCCCAAAATCCAAAAACTAAATACATGGTTAGATTCAGCATATTAAAGAACCCCAAGAATTCAAGAATAAAACCCCATTGAAATTGGTCAAGAAATAAGCAATTTATACAAAGTATCTTCTTTTGCACAATACTGTGCAATTAAATATTTCTTGCTATTGTGCAATACTGTACAATTGACAATTTCTTGCTATTGCGCAATATTGTGCTATTGGATATTTCTTGCTATTGCGCAATACTGTGCAATTGAAGATTTCTTGCTATTGTGCAATACTGTGCAATTGAAGATTTCTTGCTATTGTGCAATACTGTGCAATTGAAAATTTCTTGCTATTGCACAATACTTATTGTATAATAATTTACACATCCTGTTTGGTGTGTATCTCCTACCATATCATTTTTATTTGCTTTTAAAGATAAATCAGAAATAACCAACTTAAAATGAAAAATTTTAAAAGAAAAAAAAAAGGAAAAAAAAAAAATCCCCCCCCCAAATTTTTTGAACCCCCTTATGATTCATCACCCCCAAACTCAATCCCAGCCTTCCTTTGTGGTATGGTACCTTGCAGTACAATTTCAGAGAGATCCATAAACTTGAACACAAGTTATTGTCTGGAAACTAGAAAAATGTGTTTTTTGGCCCCTTTTTGGCCCCAAATTCCTAAACAATTAGGGCAATTACCCCCAAACTCAAACCCAGCTTTCCCTTTGTGATATGGAACCTTGTAGTACAATTTCAGAAAGATCCATACACTTACACACAAGTTATTGTCCTGAAACTAGAAAAATGCTTGTTTTTGGCCCCTCATTCCTAAAATATTGAGGCAATTACCCCCATCATCAATCCCAGCCTTCCCTTTGTGGTATGGTACCTTGCAGTACAATTTCAGAGAGATCCATACACTTGAACACAAGTAATTGTCTGGAAACTAGAAAAATGCTTATTTTTGGCCCCTTTTTGGCCCCCAATTCCTAAACGTTTCAGCAATTACCCCCAAACTCAATTCCAGCTTTCCCTTTGTGATATGGAACCTTGTAGTACAATTTCAGAAAGATCCATACACTAACACACAAGTTAATGTCATGAAACTAGAAAAATGCTTGTTTTTTGCCCCTTTTTTGGCCCCTAATTCCTAAAATTTTGAGGCAATTACCCCCAAAATCAATCCCAGCATTCCTTTTGTGATATGGAACCTTGTGGTACAATTTCAGAGAGATCCATACACTAACACACAAGTTATGTCTGGAAGTTACAAAAATGCTTATTTTTGGCCCCTTTTTGGCCCCTAATTCCTTTACTGTTGGTACCATAACCCCCAAAATCAATCCCAACCTTCCTTTTGTGGTATTGAACCTTGTGGTAAAATTTCATAGAGATCCATTCACTTAAACTAAAGTTAGAGTGCGAAAACCAATGTGTCTTCGGACGACGACAACAACGACAACGACGACGACGACGCCAACGTCATACCAATATACGACCACAAAAATTTTTTTGCGGTCGTATAAAAATACTTGATATTTAGAAAAAAAAATGAAAAATTCAGCAATTTTTCCATTTGTAAAGGGCATAACTCTAGAACAGTAAAAGTAACGGCACAAAAATTCAAACTTGATCTGTATATTGTGATAATAAGCATTGTGTATAATATTCATAACATTTGGTTGAGGCAAACTTAAGTTAGAGAACGGAAACGAAAAATTTTGCAATTTTTCCATTTGTAAAGGGGCATAACTCTAGAACGGTTATAGTGATGCCACCAAAATTCAAACTTGATCTGTATTTAGTGGTAATAAGCATTGTGTATAAGTTTCATAACATTTGGTTGAGGCAAACTAAAGTTAGAGAACGGAAACCAACTTTGGGACATAGGGACGGACGTACAGACGGACAAGGGTAAAACTTAATGCCCCCTCTGCTACAGCGGGGGCATAAAAAACAAATTATGGGCACTGAATACCCCAGTCTTAAAATGTAAACATAATTATAACTAGTTTAATATAATTGCCAATACAATTAGGCTCATACCTGTGGTTCAATCCTACAGCTTTTCTGTCGCAAAAATAGGTTACTGGCATTTTACCAGATCTCAAAATATTCATAGTTTTCGTAAACTTTGATCTAGTAACTTCAAAATAAGAACAGATCTGCCTCGCTACAAATTTCAAAATAAGTACAGATCTACCTCCCTACAAGGGACAAATTAAGTATAGATCTACCTCCCTACAAGGGATGAAATAAGTACAGATCTACCTCCCTACAAGGGACAAATTAAGTATAGATCTACTGCTCTACAAGGGACAATGACTTTGACAGCTAAAAATAATACCTATAGCCCGAAATGTAAATGCCTCGACACCTTAATAGATAGATGGATGCCTTACATTATCTTTTATATTCACTGTTTGTATCATACTAAGTTTGACAATGTTGCAACACAACTAAAAGATGTTGACTAATGCCTGTTCACACATTTAAATCAAAGTAAATATCAAAATCAAATCTCTTTGTTTAATTAAAAGTAATTTCAAGAAATTAAAGCCAGAAAAGTATTATAACCTTTGTATGTCCTAATCATAAACATAACAGGAATGCTACCCAGATGGATTAGTTGATACATCATAGAAATTCCAACTTTCATAACGAAAAGATTATCCCTGAGGGTAAACGTAAGGTTTTAACACTGTTCTGATGTTTATGAGGAATAACAGCATTAATTATCAAAGACTACAAGTCTATCATGAACTATAAACACATACCATTTATTATGGATATCTTTTATCAAAGCAATGTAATCCATTTTTTTTATGTGTAGCACCTTTGAGGATGTAGTTATGATAGTCATATTTCATGAACTTAAATAATTGTCATAAAATACATGCATATGAAAATAATCAGATCCTGATTAAAATAAGATTTATTACCATAATCTGTATTCTCTGGTTCTCCACATCTTGATGGCCAAAAACATGGGGTCTGAAAATAGACATTGTAATTGATATAATTATAGTTTCTATAATAACAGAGTGGACATAGATAAGGCTCAGACATAGATAAGGCTCGCCTTCATGTTATTTTGATAGTATATAACAAATGTTGAAATTAAAATGGCAATACTTTTTAAACATGTAAACTAAGCAAAATTTTGTATGTCAATTTAACATAACTGGGCAGGAGCAAATCATATCCATGGAATTTTTACTGCTATTTGGTAGGGTTGTTGTCTCTTTGACAAATTCCCTGTTTCCATCCTCAATTCTATTTGTAAAAAGTTTCAAAATAATAAATTCAAATTCAAATTCTTTTATTTTCCTAATCACAGATAGACCATGACAAAAGGTGAAGGGCCAAAATATATCCATGGAAAAGCTTTTGGTTAATGCTAATACAACTGCATATCAAATATTATTGATTTATCATAAGAAGTTCCCCTTAATATGAACTTATCACAAAATTTAACAAATTCTTGCTGACAAAGCTGATGCCAGAAACAGTAGGCCTTAGTCACATCTGTGAATTTGTTGAAGAGCAAAATACAAACCAAAAGCATGTTAAAACAATTGACATTTCCTAACTCCAAGGTAGATTATCTTTCAAAAAATAAAGACAACAGAAAGAGGTGATATTGTTATAAAGGAATGCAAGTGATGATATTAACTGAAATGGACATTTGGGACATGAGTGAACAAATATCTAAAATCAGCATCCACTGAAGGAACAATATTCACTACTACCGGTACTGTAAAGTCCTCTGCTTCAATACTTTTACTAGCCTTTCCACGACTTACAGGATGAAGGATAGCAATAACAGATAAGTCGGTTAGAAATATACATTCCATTGTATAGTCCATGGGTTACATTTTCTGACAGTACACCAATTACCCCTTCTTCAATCTTGTATTATGATTGTACTTATTATGTATACAGTAAACAGCTGTTGCAGCTGCTAATTCTAAGCATATTAGGTTAAATATCATATATAATATTACCATAAGGTTATATATAATTTTGACACACATAAATATATAATGCAATAATTGGTACATTTTTAGAGATCTATAAAAATAAAACAATTATACAATTTGAAAAAATGTTCAATGTTTGCTGCTAATTTTCATAATTATCAGTTAATTTCACACTAGATAAACTAGCAGACATTATAAACTTTAGAAACAACATGTTATAAGTATTAACAACAATTTGGAGCACATTACAGATCACATCAGTTTCTGCTTGATAAGTCATATTTGCATGTTTCATCTGTCCACTCACACCTTTCCATGTATCTTAAATGGTATTTTCATGTTCTTTGACATCTTTTTAATGATAATCACTGTAAGTTTGTCCAGATTACCAATATCTAGTATAACCTTTATGTTACAGCATGTATATATGAAACAAAAAGTGGTATGATTGACAATGAGACATTTGAGCTAGTGAAGTACTTCTAAAGCTCAGTCGGTTAAAGCGCTGCCTTGTATCACAAAGTTCCTGGGTTCAAGTCCTGGAGGAGACAAAGTGATTTTGTAAGAAGAATCATGCTCTCCAGTTACATTGCTTCCCTCAGTATATGTAGTAAATACATAGCCAGCCGTAAGCAGTTGAACTAGTGAAGAACTTCTTAAGCTGAGTCGGTTAAAGCGCTGCCTTGTAACACAGAGGTCTCATGTTAGTGTTCCGGAGGAGACAAAGTGATTTTGTAAGAAGAATCATGCTCTCAGGTAACACACTCTCATTATCATGAAATAATATTATTTTATCATTAGTTAGCCTTTGAGGATGAAAATTTTAATTAAAAAAAATGGGGAATGTGTCCAATGGACACATGATGCCCCCGCTTGCATATCATATAAAGTTATAAAGGGACAAATCTGAAGAACGGTAAAAGTGACGCTACCAAAATTTTTACTTGAACTAAGTTTTGTGGTAATAAGTATTGTGTATACATAAAATTTGGTTGAGGCAAACTTAAGTTAGAGAACGGACACCATTTGTAAAGAGGCATAACTCTAGAAAAGTAAAAGTGGCACCACCAAAATTCAAAATTAATCTGTATTTTCTGGTAATAAGCATTGTGTATAAATTCCATAACATTAGGTTGAGGTTAATTTAAATTAGAGAACGGAAACGAAAAATCAAGCAATGTTTCCATTTGTAAAGGGGCATAACTCTAGAACGGTTAAAGTGACGCCACCAAAATTCAAACTTGATCTGTGTTTTGTGGTAATAAGCATTGTTGATAAGTTTCATAACTTTTGGTTGAGGCAAACTAAAGTGAGAGAACGGAAACCAACTTTGGGACGTACGGATGTATGTACGTACAGACAGACAGAAAGGGTTAAACTTAATGCCCCCGCATAAAAATACAGAAAGTTGGCAAAAAAGACAAATTCAAAATCAATATTGTGGATAAATTTGTCATAATTAAATCAAATCAAATCATTTTATTGGTGTAAAATCCAAATATTGAGTTATTACCAAGACAAACATGACAATATTTAGAAACATACAAATTTAAGCAACATTCATATTACTGGTATATAAGTATCTTGTATTTTGATATTTTGGAAAAAGTCCATTTTTATTTAAACTTTTGTTGCTATCAAAAATTTGTTAAAACACTTTTTTTGTGAAATTATATGACACATTTTACACCAAGTCAACCAAGAATCAACATTGTAACATTAATTTAACAGATTCTGATGACAGTAAATATTTGACTACATTAATGTTCATATTACATTATGTTCACTTGCCATGATAAATTCCAAGTGCTCTTGTACAAAGTAAACAAAGAAATTCACCATTGCAAATCAACTGCTATAAAATCTTAAAACAAAGGTTCAAAATAACAGCTTCTGTACGTAAGCTAATGATCTGCTAAAATAAGTCCAAATTTCTATAACTTTGTTATGGTTACTTAGTAAATGTCATAAAATGCAATCCATTAATTGTGTTCTCTAATGGGAGTCTTAAAAAGGGTATCTTTAAGTATTTTTTTCCTATTATGATTGATGTTTTACATTAATTATTCATAAATACCATGAAAATACATGCCACATAGGATTTATGCTCAATAAATATTTTTTTCTTTTACCATTATATTTAAAATGAATAATTCAATGGCACTAAACTTTCAACACAAATATGTGAGTTCATTGCATGCAACAAAATTGATAAAAAAAAACATGATATCTAATCATACTGTATGTTGTAAAATGTATGCATATAAATAGGGTTGCTACTTGTTGAAGGCTGTACAGTGACCTATAGTTGCTTACAGCCAATGATCTCATTGGCAATCATACCACATCTCATTATTATTTTTTTTTTAATGTTGTGTCACTTGTCAAGTATTCCTAAAACTCTTTTAATATCAATAACCTAACATTTCATTTTATAAACATTAACATGTCAAATTTACCAAAATGTCAAAGTCAATAGTTATCAAAGGTACCAGGCTTATAATTTTATACGCCAGACGCGCGTTTCGTCTACATAAGACTCATCAGTGACGCTCAGATCAAAAAAGTTTGAAAGCCAAAACAAGTACAAATTTGAAGATCATTGAGGATCAAAAATTCCAAAAAGTTGTGCCAAATACGGCTAAGGTAATCTATGCCTGGGATAAGAAAATCCTTAGTATTTCGAATAATTCATACTTTTGCAAACAGTAAATTTATAAAAATGACCATATAATTGTGTATTCATGTCAACACCGAAGTGCTGACTACTGGGCTGGTGATACCCTTGGGGACGAAACATCCACCAGCAGTGGCATCGACCCAGTGGTGTAAATAGTTATCAAAGGTACCAGGCTTATAATTTTAAACGCCAGAGCAATGGTTTAGTGGGGCTTAAACAATCCAGCCATTTTTAAAAGGGGGGGGGGGGGGGGGGGGGAGGCGTGTCCCAACCCAGGATAAAGGAGGGGTTCCAACTATATGTCCCTATTCAAATGCATTGATCATCAAAAAAAGGGAGGTTGTCAATTAGGAAAAATTATGATAATGGCAACCCCTTGAAAGTCTGTTTGCCAGTAGTTTACAACTTTTCTAGACTTAGAATGATTTAGAGCCTAAAGAAAAGTATACATTTTTCTATTGTTTTTTAAAAATTGTATGTTAATCTCCAGATGTCTTTTTTTTTAGACTGTATAGATTTTGATCATTGTTGAAGGCTGTACAGTGACCTATGGTAGGTAACTTCTACGTCATTTGGTCTCTGTTGGTCAGTTGTTTTATTTGAAATCATACCACATTTTCATATTTCTATACTAATTATGAAAACTTTGCAAATTATTTATACAGTCAATGGACCACCACTGATGGATTCAGGGCATGGTTTAATAACCTCAATCTTAATTAACTGATGCTGACGTAAATGCAAATGCATATGCTAAATAATACAGCTGTAAAGTACACTTATTTTTAACAAAACAAGAACTATATGCTTTTAAAATATCCTCATTCTTATTCAAGACATCAAAAGCAATATATTGACATCCAGATCACTGAGACATGCATTCAAATGAAAAAGCAATACAATGCAACACATCTCTTCACAACAATTCAATAGTAATTACATCACAGAGAATGTCCTGATTCGTAATAATCTGTAATTTACAACTACACAACCACAATCGATGACAACAATCTGATAACTTGTTGCCTATTGAGACAGCAAGTACACAGATACATATTGGAAAGAAAGGTATTGACTTCTGACTTCTCCCATAGATGGAAGAAAAATATACCAATAAGTAAAAACCAATCTTTCCATAACTTTTCAATATTACTATCATGGCTACAGTAGCCCAATGGGAGGGAGACAAGGTCATTTAATTCCTTATTAAGTCTTGGTTCATTGGTTTTTTCTAGAGGTAGAGGTTATTCTAAATTTCTCAACTATTTACAGTTCACTTAGTATAAAAGTAGAAATATCTCATGAAATCAGATGAGTTTGGACCTATTTGA